AACATTTTCATGATTTTAGATTTATTGATAACCAATAAAATCTCATCTCTGTGTCCAACTTATGGAATTTTAAAGGCTAGATTCTCCCCATGCTATTGGATTACTCTTGTCTAGTGGATATATTGTGGTATAAAGTATAGTCTGCTGATCATTTTAGATATCCCTCCTATGTCTGCCTCTGAGCTTGCAGTGGCATTACATCAAAACAAATGGTGAAATACTTTTAACTTCAGGAAGGCAAGTAATGTCTCAGATATCATACTTTTAAGTTACTGGATTTGGTGTCATTTTAAAAATGTCCAAAACAAAGGGCTTGAATTTTATCTCCTGTGGGTTTTCCAAAACCATAAGTGTAGTCTTATTCACCTAATAAGAGGTGACTTCTGGTAGTTTTTTTGTTTCATTTCATTTTTAATGTTCCATAAGGAGTTTGTGAGTGTGAGAGAGGGTCAGTGTGATAGCTGGCTATGAGGTGAGGCCCCCCCATAGAAGAGGGCTGGTGTGCAAGGGTGTTGGCATGGTAACGGCCAAAGGATGTTTACTTTCAGGGCACTCGCACATTTGAGTTTACTAGTATCAGAACTGTTGCAGACTCTGGGTTCAAGAACCCTCCAGGTAAACATAGTAAGTGCTGGAGTTAAAGAGTTTGAGTATGAAGTCTACACATAGCATTTTTTAGTTTATCCAGTTTTGTCTCACTTTCCTCATTAGTAAAATGGGGAATCAAATTTACAAGGTATTGTTAGATTTAATGAGACACTTAATGCATGAAACTTAGTATAATATCAATTTGGCATTGTAAAGAAAACACAATCTTAGTTGTGATTTGGATTATTAATTGTGAAAAGGATACTTGTAAAATAGATGTACCATTTGCATCTTCTGAAAATAAAGTGAATTGTCATGGTTCCTTGGACATTCTGTCTTCCATGATTCCTCCACAGTCTTCTCCAGCCTCTCCTAAGTAGTTAGGCTACTGGCTTTGAAGCTGTGAACCACGGGTGAACATAGTCTTGGTTTAGAAGCCTGTCAGCTGCTACTACTTTTTATATATAAATCACTATATATAATTTCTGTAGAAGTTGAGCTAAGTTTAAAAATGATTACCTTTGCACACCTTTCTTCATCCCAAAATAACCCATTGGTGGCTGTATAAGTAAAGAACCGAGGGAGAGATTACTAATTGGGAAGAACCTGGACAATGTGAGGAAGTCTCAGCTGGGCTACAAATGGACAGCTAACAGGATCTGCCATGCTTTTCTAATGCACTAACGTAATATACATAATGGATGTGCACTGGGCCTCTAGTATGCATATAAGATCTTTGTTTAATAACCATGATGGTTCTGTTCTGATTAGAGACAGCACATTCTCACCTGTCTGGGGACTTGTACATGCCGTCCTGGAGCTGACCTGGAAATGTGGCCCATCCTCCTCATCCAGGAGCTGCCTATTATCATGGAAAGATTGTCAATCTTGTTTCAGAAACCAGAGGCACCAGCCCTTTGCAAACCCCAACCAATTGCAAAACCCCAGCTTTTTGCAAACCCCCAGCTAACATTGCCTGTAATCTGTAACAATTACTGTATTTTGAATGCCCTTTTTAATTGCTTTTGCCTTCTTCCCCATATAATCTTTGTTCTTGTACCCCATATAAGCAGCCGGCTTATGGGGGTGGGGAGGTACTGAGCAGATTTTTGTAGTTAACTGGAAGCTCCCTCATACAGTTGGCATTATTGGAACAAAAGCTCATATATGATTCAACCCTGTCTCTATGTAATTGGCTCAAGTAGTGACAGGCAGCATGGACCCATTGGTTGTTTGGTTTCAAGCTAACCAGATCTTCCAAGCTTTCCTAATGCACTCAAGTAATACACGGACCTTCTGGATCTCCACATTCATTACCCGAGGATTTAACAGACCTTTTCCCCATCACACCCCTGAACTGTATTCCAAACCAATCTCATAATTTTATCATCATATTTCTTCCATTTATTTTCAACTATCACAAATTTCTTACATGTATTGTTAGGGCAGAAGTAGAATATCGGGGCTAGCTATAATTATAAGAACTATTAATCATGCTCTGTTAACTGTGATTGTTCTGTTCTGATTAGAGAAAGCACATTTTAACCTGGCTGAGAGTTGCATGCCCTGGCACATGGGAGCTCACATTGGAATGCAGTCATCCTCCTTTCCCAAGAACTTCCTGTCATTATGGAAAGATTTACAACCTCATGGCGGCTGAAACAATCTACTCCAGGAGGCACCCACCCTTTGCAACCCCCAGCCCTATTGCCTGTGACCATTATACATTGCCTACTTCCCCCTGCCTGTAATTCTTATTTTTCCACATAATTTTCGCCCTTCCACCCAATATAAGCAGCTGGTTGATGGGGAGAGGTAGAGCAGATTTTTGTGGATGACCTGCTGCTCTCTCATGCTGCTGGCAGTTTTGGAATAAGAGCTCATATATGATTCAACCCTGTCTCTGCTTAATTGGCTCAAGTAGTGGCAGGCAGCCTGGACCCCTTGGTTGTCCAGTTACAGCATTTGCAAGAAGAAGTCTGAGGATGCATATCAAAGTCACTATTAACCTTGTACATAATCTGACACTATAGATAGCAAAAAAGCTCTGGGATTAATTTATATGCAAATTATATTGTTCTTATCACCAGTTCCTACTTGATTCTTCTTATTAATAGGAAGATCTTCAGTTTAAAAACTATGCATCCTTGAATTGGCTGTGCAACTCACTTATAGTATAAATGAATAATGATGAGCTCCATAAGCAAGACACATTCTGCTAAAATCATTATTATACTCTTCCCCTTTTTTCCCTCCTGAACTGGCAAGTGTCCTGTTCAAAGCTGTATACATCACATGACTCTAGATGCCCTGCAACACAAACTCCACATCAGAAAGAATGTGATTTTCACAAATAAACCTAGATGCAGAGATTGTGGTTTAGTGTATAGATTCAGGGGCGATGGGGTGACTTGGGTGTGGGATACAGAACACAGCGCTGACATCGGATGACTATCTGGGGACCCTGGTGTGGTTCCCACACTCCACCCATTACACCAGAATGGCCTTGTAGGGGTGCTCTGGCCTACTTGTCAGCTGCCTGAACACAGAGTTCAACACAAACTGTAACATGCTATGGCCAGTACTCTGGCCCTAACAGCAAACTTGTGGGTTCCACCCTACCTGGCCTGTACCCCCCTGTCTCTTGTAGGGAACTGTTACATTGCCAGGGCTGGCTCAAGGGGTGTGACTATAACTGATAGTCGTACCTGGTTCCCCAAGGGAAAGGAAGGGTTAATCATGGCCCTTCCCTAGTAACAGACCATGGCTAGGTCTATCCTGTTTATTCTTTTCCAGTTTGCCTAGGGGACAGGTCTTGGTTGGAACAGTTGGAACAGCTCCTCTCTTGCTTTCACCTGTACATGTAGTCTCTGAAGGTACTTCCGTGTACACTTGTGTAGCCTACTCCTTTAGTCTAGGAGGGCTCAGTGTAAGAATATCAATTCTGGAGTGTTTGTAAGTTCCTGTAATCTTCTTTCACCCTGTCAGAGGCAGTAGGAGCCTGCTCACCACTGCTGCTCTGAGTGGCTCTGAGTCCATGTGTTCTTCTAAATTCTCCCTGGCTACGCCAGGGCTGGTTCTGCCTCGAACCCTGTTCACTGTACTAACTGTTGGGAAGTTAGTCCAAGTTCCTCCTTTATCCTCTGCTCACTAGTGACAGGTGTCAGGTCTGAAATCCTTAAGCCACACATGGTTTCCGGGTGGGGTGATATGCCCTTGCAGAATGGACTAAGGGAGTAGCTCCTCTGTGTGACCTTTATCCCTCACAGGGTCTCACATGCCATAGGACCTCACAGGGCCTCTGCCTGGAGCTGGACCTCCTAGGAAGCCGAGTCTTAGAGGGAGAAGCCATGAGAGGTTGTGGGTATATAAGAATAAGTCTTTACTGCAGAAGCCAGTGGCCATATAGCCGTTAGACAAAACAGTTCTTTATAGCAAAGTCCATACAGGCAGGCAGCCAGATATCGGCTGGTGAACAGGTACATACTTCCCACAAGGCAGCACACAGGGCTGCCAAACATCTCTCACCAAGAGTATCAGCTCCCAGTTTCCTTCCATAACTGGGGCCAAAACCTGATGGGTACCCATCTCCGCCCACCTGGACCACTGCCCACTTGGCAGCTATATACCCTTTACTTCTTTTGGGGTTCAACCCCAAGTAGCCCCCTTTCAGGACAGCTTGCACACTGGCAGTACCAATGGCTCTCAGTGGAAAACTGGGCACTCGCCAGTATTCCCTAAGACCACCGAGGTGTGTAGACCAACACAGGTCTACAACAGTTGCTGGCAGCTGCGTTCAAATCTGCAAGAGAATCGGAGGTTAATACAACATTATTAACACAATGAAACATAACGTTGGCACCGTGGCCGCCGCAAGAAGCCACATCCCTTGCCATGAAACATGACACATGGTAAAGCCGTAGAAAACATCTCGGAGGGAGAGCGACCAAGGTTCACTGTCGACCCTTTTATGCAAAAGCAAATTGTCCTTGACTCTCTGGAGTCATGTCCACAGAGAAGGCACCAGTCAAGTTCATCCTTCGGTTTTCTGCAAGTCACAGCCATCCACTAAGTGCCATTGGCTCCTCTTCACTGGTCACACAGGACCAGGGCTGTGTGCGGGGGACCATCCTTCTTCACTTTAGCAACAAACAGTCTGTCCAATCTCCCTAAAATGCATTCTGGCATGGGAGAGAGTCGTATGCTGCACACAGGCAGCAGAGCCCACACACATCTGGGCTCACACATCTGCCCAGCAAACTGCAGTCCATGTTAGCAAGTTCAACATGCGCCGCCTGTCCTCCTCACCGGGTCTCTGCCAGTCCCTCAGTCAGACTCCTCCCTGGGAGAGTCTGAAAGTCCTGAATGCACACTCTGGCCCAGGGAGAGTGCCTTCCCTCCGCCCTCTCCTGTTAGCCCTGTTTACCAGTTCCCTTGCCATCCCTGACTCTCGGCCACTTGGCTCCAAGCCAAACACAGCCAGGGCTGCAGCTAGAGACAAGTTTGGGCATTGCAAAGCGCTCTGGGGGCTGAGGCGGCTTGGGCTTCAGCCCCTCCACACCCTCCTCTTTTCCAGCAGCAACGCAGCAACTGCCCTGGCCCCTAAGGAAGGGGTGTCCAGCCCCTCCTTTCACAGCAGCAGCAGGTACTGCTGTTGTAGTCCTGTAGTCCTTCAGTACATTTTCAAACAGGGAAATTTTACCAACTGCATCTCCAGCCACTTTCACAGATCCCAGGGCTGCTGCTTGTCTCCCTTTAACCAGCAAGCCAAATGCTTAAGTCTTTTATTGCGCTTTGAAAAATGCTCCTTAAGGCAGTAGCTCTTGTGTCAGGCAACTCCAGGCCTTCCCTGCTTCTAGCTGCTGCTTCTCCTGGTGGCTTTAGGTGGCTGTGGGCATTTGGCTGCCCTCTGCCTTCTTTTGCCTGCTCCTGCTTCTCCAGCAAAAGTCTCTCCCAAGCCTCCTCTGGCTCCCAGAAACTCTCCGCAAATGGTTGCAGGCAGATGGAGACTCTAAATCACAAGGGGCTTCCGAGGGAGGCTGCAGCCTCACTGCTGCGCTGCATTCACCCAGGCGGTTGCAGGGCTCACCTCAGCCTTTCCCCACCAGGCTCCTGGGGACTCAGTTTCTAGTCCTGCTGGCAACTGGCTGTTGCTATGGCTGGGGCTGCTTTAAATCACCCTGGTGGCTGCGACTTCAGCTCTGCCTCTCCTCTGCCAGGCTCTTGGAAGTTCAGTTCCCCCCAAGCTGCACCTACTCTATTCTTCCCAGTCCCCTAGGGGTGTCAGAGTCAACATGACTGAGGGGCACTCACCCCAGAGTCCTGTCGTGATGCCCAGCGTTGGGAGTACTGGCTCCTACTCGGACCGACACATCTTCCAGATCCTCGTACCTCAGTTTACCATCCTGCCAACTATGCCAACTGTCAGAGTCACCAGACACACTGGTCAAGTAAATGTTTTAGGCTTTGAGAGCCACATACAGTCTGTCGCATATTCTTCTTCTTCTTCTTCTTCATAATTTCCCGTTTTAAATGTGAAAACAATTCTTAGCTTATGGGCAATATAAAAACAGGCCTAAAACTAGATTTGCCCCATGGACTATAATTTGTTGACTTCTGCTTTAAACAGTTGGATACAAGATTAAACATGATTCAGGTGAGCCCTATTTCAGGATTGAAGTTGGATTATTTAGTTCAAATGTTTTATATTCTGTAGCAAGGAGATATGTAATATGTTTGTCCAAAAATAGGAACAAATTTCTACTTGATATAGTATATGCAGCAATATGCCTGAATCTAAAAAAGCAATTTAGTGTTCTTTTACTGAAAGCCATGGAATTGAATTCATAAAAAAGACACTACCTCTGGTTACATAATCAATTCAATTGATGCACTTTTCAGGATTATCTCTTAAGTATTGTACCAGTGAGAGAAAGGGAAAGCATTGTAACATTATAAAATATAAGGACATTTTTATCCCCTATATT